AAAAAATATTTCTGACCTTCCTTTCCTTCTTTACTGGCAAAGATAACAGTAATTGTGTATTTTTGTTTAATGAGTGTACATGCCAGTTTATCTGAATGGAGCTCTAGGAAACAATGGAAGAATCCTAATTTTTCATTTCTTTGATCTAGCATGTCCCGTTTCTTAACCCATTTTTCAATATGGAACAAAGGGTACGATGATTTTTTTTCCAGCAAAATATTTTATTTTTTGTTTTAGCCTGTGTTTTAAAACACAGACGAGTAGCCACACAAGACGTGGTATTAGAGGAAAGCAGGATGTTGTACGCCAATCAACAATAAGGTCCCATAGTCCTGTGAAAAATATAATATAAACTCTCCTGGAGTCAAACCCATGCTTTCCATGCCATTGTCTTCTTTTGGGATGTTTTCGAAAGTCAGCCCAGTATTACTTAAAGTGTTGGAAGTTGTTTTGAAGAAGGCGTCTCATTAATATGGACATAACAACACAACAGTCGCAACTACAACCGCCATCACATCAGCGTCTTCGCGGGGCAAGTTTGCAATTGGAAACAAAATTGTACAGGGACTCTTCAAAAAGCAACTTTAAATCACAGCCCCACAGAAATCCTCTAACGCTACAACTTCAGAGACGTACGTCCATTGAAGTAGAAAAGGGAAGAGGGTGACTCTACACTAATTTGTATCTCTATGTGGTTTGCAGGAAGTTGAACAAAGAGAGCAGCGATCGCTCGCTGCTTGGGACTGGAACGGATTCAGCTGTGAAAGGTTGGTCTTTTGAAAGGAAGGACTCGTTATTTTCTAAGAATGCAGCTAACGCTGTTCAGACTCCACTGCTAGTTTCTAATCTAGACGATGTGTGAATTTGCAGGTTTCTCTTGCTTTAATCCAGTGTTTTTCAACCTAATCGACATTTAGATCGGTGACTTCAACACAATTCCCTAGCCAGCCGCATAATGGCTTGCTATATTGCCTGTTTTTTGTTTTTTTTTGGCATAACGTGTCCATCTATTTATTTGTACCCCACCTTTATTATTTTTACAAATTAATAAAAACAAGTCGGTCTCGATGCATACCATTGATAACCCATGGTTAAAATTTGGATAGCTGCTTAGAAAAGGCGGTGATAACAATAGCTGGTCTTGCCAACTTTTCCAGTTCTGTTCCTGTATCCTGATACAACAACTTGAGTATTGCATTTTCCAATAGGTTCTAGCCTGATCAAGAAAATGTACAGATCAGAAGAAGATCTATGACTGGAACTATTAAAACAATAAAATACTACTATTTATTTTTAAGTCATTTCATCATTCTGAGATGTGTTGCTTTTAAATTAATAAAACAGCAGTTGTGGGAAGAAACTTAGATTTCCTCCTGACCTGTACATCCTCCTGACCTGTACATTTTCTTTGATTAGGCTAGTTTCTATTGTAAAGCAATGCTCAATTCATGTTGGCTTAGGGTTCAAGAATAAAATGGAAAAGTTGGTAACACAGATATCTTAATATAAGCAGTTTGAATCGTTTATTATCCACAGTCTAGAGCAGTGATGGCGAACCTTTTAGAGACCAAGTGCCCATACTGCAACCTAAAACCCACTTATGTATCGTGGCCCATTGGGTGTATGTGGCCCATTGGGTGGGTGTGGCTGCGGTGGTAATGGTAGACTGGGTCGGACTAAAAAGTTCAATCAATCAATTCCAACATTGCGAGATATGTAACAAACTATATTATAGCTTAAGTATAATGACCTTCTGGACAACAGAATAAAGCTAAGAGGATGGCTGGTTCTTATAGCATGTGGAACCACAAACTACTCAACTTCAAATACTTTTAATATCTTTAAATTAGAACAGTTCTTCCCATAGTTATGGCAATGAATTACCAGGACCTGGTTACTTGGTAGTTACCAGAAATCTTGAATTTAGAAATAAATCAGTAGCAGCAATGGATTTTTTCTCCATTTTCTAAAGAATAGAGGAAGCTGTAGTCCACTAGTTCGTCATAAATAAAATCCCCTTTCAGCACTGACAATGTAAACAAAAAAAGCTATTCCTTTTTCTTAGGAATTAACAGTAAAGACATTTTGCTGTCTGAGGCCAAGCATCCTGTACTCTTCTAGTCAAGTTTTTTTTTAGCATATGGGAATAGAAACCCAGCAATCATATGTCCTAACCCAGCAATGACCAACCATTTCAGCTTGGTGGACTGGGGGGGGGGGGGGGGAGAGGGAATGGTTCCATGTGAGTGGCAGGTGAGCGTGCACACTAGCTCCATTTGTGCAAGCAGCGGGCATGTGTGCCCACTGCTTGCCCAAATGGAGCTGTGCACGCAAGTGGAGCTGTGCGCAAATACACAATCGCCAACCGCTCCTGCGGCCCGGTTGTGAATGGGCGTGGTCCAGTAGTGGGCCACGGCCTGGGGATTGGGTACCCCTGTCCTAACCATTGACAGTAACACTACTGGAAGAGCCATGGTGGTGCAGTGGTTAGAATGCAGTATTGCAGGCTGACTCTGCTGATTGCCACGATTGCTAACTAGCTCAAGGTTGACTCAGCCTTCCATCCTTCCGAGGTCGGTAAACTGAGGACCCAGATTGTTGGGGGCAATATGCTGACTTGTAAACTGTTTAGAGAGTGCTGTAAAGTACTATGAAGCGGTATACAAGTCTAAGTGCTATTCCTATTGCTATTACAATAATACCAAATAATTCACTATTTTTCAGAATCTGCTAACTGCGGCAGCTATTGTTTTCTATTTCACTTCTAATTTTTTTATTATTGTAACATAAAAGTATAGAAAAACAAGGAAAAGAAAAAGAAAAGTGCAAAGGCAGAAGAGCAGCTACCTTATTCTACTTCATGGTAGGACCAACCCTTGAACAGAAGCAATAATCTACTTCATGGTAGGACCAACCTTATTCTACTTCATGGTAGGACCAACCCTTGAACAGAAGCAATAATCAAGTTCTCAGTTCAGAAGTGTGGGGGATAAATTAAGAATTGTAGATTGGCCTGACTAAAGAACATTTGGCTTGCTTCCAAAGCAGATCTGGGAATCACAACAAGCTGGGTTGATGATGAAATAAGAAAAATTGTAGCCAAGCTTAGGTATAATAGTCATGATTTATTAGACTGCATGGTAATAATAATAATAATAATAATAATAATAATAATAATAATAATAATAATAATAATAAAGTTGGAAGGGACCTTGGAGGTCATCGAGTCCAACCCCCTGCTCAGGCAGGAACCCTACACCATTTCAGACAAACGGCTGTCCAGTCTCTTCTTAAAAACTTCCAGTGTTGGAGCATTCACCACTTCTGGAGGCAGGTTGTGCCACTGGTTAATTGTTCTAACTGTCAGGAAGTTTCTCCTTAGTTCTAGGTTGCTTCTCTCCTTGATCAGTTTCCATCCGTTGCTTCTTGTCCTGCCTTCAGGCGCCTTGGAGAATAGCTTGACTCCCTCTTCTTTGTGACAGCCCCTGAGATATTGGAACACTGCTATCATATCCTCCCTCGTCCTTCTCTTCGTTAAACTAGACATACCCAATTCCAGCAACCGTTCCTTATATGTTTTAGCCTCCAGTACCCTAATCATCTTTGTTGCTCTTCTCTGTACTCTTTCTAGAGTCTCAGCATCTTTTTTACTTTGTGGTGACCAAAACTGGATGCAGTATTCCAAGTGTGGCCTTACCAAGGCATTGTAAAGTGGTATTAATACTTCACGTGATCTTGATTCTATCCCTCTGTTAATGCAGCCCAACACTGTGTTGGCTTTTTTGGCAGCTGCAGCACACTGCTGGCTCATATTTAAGTGATTGTCCACTAGGACTCCGAGATCCCTCTCACAGTTACTACTATTGAGCAAGGTACCCCCTATATTATACCTGTACATTTGGTTTTTCTTGCCTAAATGTAGAACCTTACTTTTTTCACCATTGAATTTCATTTTGTTAGATAGCGCCCAGTGTTCAAGTCTGTCCAGGTCCTCCTGTATCTTAAGCCTGTCTTCTGGAGTGTTGGCTATTCCTGCCAGCTTGGTGTCATCCGCAAATTTGATGAGTTCCCCATCTATCCCCACGTCCAAATCATTGATGAAGATGTTGAAGAGCACTGGGCCTAGAATAGAGCCCTGGGGCACCCCACTACACACTTCCCTCCATGTAGATGCAGTTCCATTCTGAGTACGGCCGGTCAGCCAGCTATGAATCCATCTTGTGGTGATGCTGTCTAACCCACATTTTTCTATCTTATTGAGTAGTAGGTTGTGATCTACTTTATCAAATGCCTTACTGAAGTCCAAGTAAATTATATCCACAGCATTCCTCTGATCCACTAATTTTGTCACTTGGTCAAAGAATGCAATAAGGTTTGTCTGGCATGATCTGGTTGGCTTTTAGTAATGACTTTGTTTGCATCTAGGTGTTCGCTGATTCATTGTTTGATTATCTTTTCCAGAATCTTCCCAGGTATTGAGGTCAGGCTGATAGGTCTGTAATTTCCTGGATCCATTATTTTTCCTTTTTTGAAGATGGGAACAACATCAGCTCTTTTCCAGTCCTTTGGTAGTTCCCCAGTGCTCCAAGATCTTTGAAAAATATAGTTCAGTGGTTCTGAGATCACATCTGCCAGTTCCTTGAGAACCTTAGGGTGTAATCCATCTGGTCCTGGTGATTTGAACTCGTCTAGGCTGGACAGGTGCTCACATCATTTTCTTGCCTATCTTAACTTGTGTTTCTATACTGATTTTTATGGCACTAATTTTGATAGGTTGGTCTGTTTTTTTCCCTTTGTGTAAAGACAGATGCAAAAAACAAGTTAAATAGTTCTGCTTTCTCCCTATTGCTAGTCACCTTTTTACCACTTTCACCCACTAATGGACCAATCGTTTCCTTCACTTTTTTCTTGTTTTTTACATGTTGAAAGAAGCTTTTTTTTGTTATTTTTGACCTTGGTCGCAAGCTTTAGTTCATTTTGAGCCTGGCTTTCCTCACTTCATCTTTGCAGGCCCGGGCTATTTGTTGATATTCTGATTTAGTTATGTGCCCCTCTTTCCACTTTCTATACTTGTCCTTTTTATCTTTCAATTTGTCAGAGAGTTCTTTATGCAGCCATGCTGGTTTCTTTTGAGAGCTGTTATTTTTCTTCTTTGTTGGTATTGAGCTAGACTGGGCTTCTATTATCTTGCTTTTCAAAATTTCCCAAGCTTCTTGCGTTGTTTTCCCCTGGAGGATTCTCATCCATGGAATCCTTCCCAAGCCCTCTCTAAGTTTATTGAAATTAGCTCTCTTGAAGTCCAAGACTCTAGTTTGACTATATTCTATTGCTTGTGCTTCCATAATGTTGAATTCCAATATTGCATGATCACTACCTTCCAAGGTTCCTGTGGCTTCAACACCTTCTATCATTTCATCTCTGTTAGTGAGAATTAGATCCAAAATGGCTAATCACCTAGTTCCCTTCTCTACTTTTTGGGAGACATAGTTGTCTGCTAGGTTTGTCAGGAAACTGTTTGATCTTCCACTTGGTGCAGAGTTTGTCTCCCAGTTGATGTCAGGGTAATTAAAGTCCCCCATTACTATGGTTATGTGCTTCCTACATACCTTAGTTAGCTGACTAGCAAAAAGTTCATCTATTTCCTCTGGTTGTGTGGCCTATAGTATACACCTATGGCAATGTCATTTTTTCTCCCTTTTATATTGACCCAAATGCATTCAAGACAATTTTTGTCATTGTTATGCTCTATTTCTGTGGAGATGTAGTT